TTCTCTAAAATTAAAGGTAGCTTCGAATTTGAAATAAATTATATACGACGGTAGGCCATGCGATTCTGAAAATTTTGACATTTTTAGATTTTCTGTACGATCTCTAGTTTAGAAGTTATAAGCATTTTTCTATTCGGTGGCTGCTTGCTACATGCTCCTGGTCGCCTGGTAGAAATCCTGGATTTTGCTGCCAAATTGAATGCAATTTTTCCGCAGCAGCTGGCGAATGCCGGAAAACTGTTGCATATGCAAAGGGGCAAAATTATATGAAGGAAGCGGACATCTTTTTAACCGGACACCGGATAGGAAGTGAACCGGAAATAAAAAATAACGGGTTTAGTATCCGGTTTAGGAGTCAGACCGGAAGTAACAATCCGGAAACGGAAGAGAACAGAAACAACTTCCGTTTCCGTTTTGGCGAGAATCATAAACAGGAAGTGTGAAAATAATTTTCGGTTATTAGATCCGTTTTCCGTCTATTACTTCCATTTCCGGTTGATCACTTCCGGAGCCGAACAACATTTCCGTTTCTGGTCAAACTTCCGTTTCCGGTTTCTGACATCCGGAAAATTTCATTGACCGGAAGTAGTAAACTGTTATTTCATAATTTCCGGTTCTGGTCACATATCGACATCCGGTTCTAAAAGATGGTCGCTTCCTTTGATTCATTTTTCCCCTTTGCATATGCAACAATCCAGCTAGGTTTTGGGCGCATCCGCTGTCGGCAGCATAAAAAATTAATTACCGCTTCCTTTGCTTAATTTTGCCCCCTTGCTTATGCAACGCACCAGCAGGTTGGGTGTATCCGCTGTCGGCTGCAGAAAAATTGCATTCAATTTGGCAGAAAAATCCAGGATTTCTACCAGGCGACCAGGAGCATGTAGTAAGCAGCTGCCGAATAGAAAAATGTTTATAACTTCTAAACTAGAGCTCGTAGATAAAATCTAAAAATGTGGAAATTTGCAGAATCGCATGGGCTTTAATGCTATCCAATAAAATTTAAGTTTGGAATTACCCAAAGTTTTAGACCATTAAAAATTTGTCACAAATCGACAGTTTTTCTCAAAATAATGCTTAAAAAGTTGTTTTCTCTTCGTTGAGCGCCATGAAAAAGAGGGGCAGAACTGTTTCAAATATTTGGCCATACTCCAAATACAGAAGTTTTCGATATTGTCCATTTTTTTTTCAAAAAAAAATTTTAAATTTAAAACTTACCGGCCTACGAAATCCTTTTCAATATTTAAGGAACATTTTCATGTTTTTGGCGATAAACTCTATCCAAAAAGGCATTTTGCAAAATAAAATTATATCCGTATCAAATAAGGAAGAACTCCACATTATTTTCTTACATAAAAAACTTTAAATAAATGAGCGTAGAAAAGGAAAATTTCAATTAAAGCGTGTTAATTGGCCAACTTGTAAATTAAGGTTTTTAGAATCAAAGGTACTTCATTTAATATATGAGGTAGATGAGGACAACATCAACCAAAAGGTGCACTGGGGCTAGGAAATGAATGGCTCTGATTTTAGTTAAGAAACCTCACAGATCAAGCAAAGCATAAGTTTTAAAGTCAAGCGAAGGTTAGATAATCCAAATATTAAGTATGTGGGAAGTTGGGGAAGTGCATCACCTTGAGTTACCAACGCTTGGAGAACTTCAAATATATGCTTGCATGTCATTCTTTGCTTTTTACCTGTGAATGTGAAATTTGATGAAAACTTAACATTTTATGAGTGATTTTTAATGAAATACCAAAAATATATTTAAACAAAGTATATACTTAAAGCTTTCAGCAATTGCCAAAATGTCGGAAAAGGAGTTGCCTAAAATTAGTACTCGCTGGTGCATTGGCAGTGTTTTCTTCTACCTACAGTAGCTTATGCCGTATATTGTAACAAAAAATGAAGCATTAAAAAGGTAAACAATAAAAAATATTATTAAGCACAACACAAATAATAAAGAGACATTATACATATGTATTTAAAAATGTAAAGCGCGATATGCCACATTGTTTGTAGTGACAGCATAATTTTTTAATGAGTAGTTAAAATATTATGTAATTAACAATAAATTACACGTTGCACATATTGCTCACACGCATAGCTTAACATGCACACACACACACACACACAGACCGCATGCGCAAAATATTTATTATAACGATTGTAAGTTTTTGTTAACACCATCAATGAAAAGCAATGTACCGTTTCACTTTGTCGTCGACGAGCCAAACTGGCGCTGGCGCTGGCGCTGGTGGGGGTGGTCCTCAAACACAAAGCAAAGTCATTTGCCATTTGCCTGTTGCTAGCTGCCAACAGCTAACAGCCAAGTGCCAGCGGCTGCTGGCGGCCACTGCCGCTGACAGTCATTATATGCTGGCGAGATAAGCGCCGCTCAACGCAACATGACTCGAATGCGTATTAAATAATTTCCAACACTTTGCGGTCGTTGGCTTCGAAATATCTCTGAGGGTAGCGAGGGAACTCAAAAGTGCGGGTTAATTGTGGTTGCTGGCGCTTGAAAGGGTCGTGGGGGTTGGGTTGGGTGAGGCTAAGCGTTTAATGTGGTGTCACTTGTTCATATTTCACTTACATTTCAATTTAATTGATATCGATCAGAGTCAAGTGTGTCAATTGAATACTTCATGAATTAAAATGATTAACACAATTTAATTAAATGATTTATATAATTAATTTTACTTCGTCATTAAGTATTAATTGCCATGAAATTTTAATGGTAATACACTTATTTTTATTTTTATGTCATCTGTATGGTACATAACCTTAAAACCGAATTTCAGTATTAATGACAACTTAAACGTGTTCAAGCACAAAGATTTTTATGCCAGTTAAATAGTGACAATGGAGTGGAGGTTGGTGCTGGTCTTAATAAGTATTGTTTCACAAAAGTATGTTCATTCCAGACTCACTGAGTGTAAAAATGTCGGGAATATATATTTTTAAGATTTTCGTGTCCTTGATGATTGCCAATAAGTAAGTAAGTTAATAGCAATAACTTTTTTGTATTTTCATTTAGATCAGCAATTCCAAATGAAAAATAACTCCTCATAGTACCATTATTACTGACAAAGAGAGAAGAAGGAATTAAATTTGTGATCAGATGTTCTTGTGATTAACTAGACATTCGAAATTTGACCCATCTATGGAGAGTCAGGTAATGAATATAAGATGATACATTGAGCTAAATCAACTTGTGAAAGACGAAAACATTATTCAGTCGAAAACGACTAAATCTTTCTGCCACTACGAATTCCACACCGAATTTGCGATCCGTTAAAATGCCGCTATTCGGACCTATTCGTCTCCGTCCTTGTGCCGTTGCATTTCTTAGACGGCGATGGTATCAGCCTTTACTTTTATGAAGACAGCAACCAGCTTCCTTCCCAATTTAGAGACCGGTCATTCCAGATGCACGACCTCAAAATCATCGTCTTTGTTATGTTTGATGTGGTCGTCAACAAAAAAGGGTTTTTCATCCGACGCTGGTGCTTGCTTTCCAGTGGGATCAGTTTCTATGTGGTGGGTCCAAAACCCGGCGCACAACCTCGCTAGGCGAGTACTATAAGGTTCTATAATCATTTATATAGCAAACCGCTTGTTTCAAGACTGACGTCCACTCGCAGCCGCATCTCTGCTGGACAGACGATGAACTTCACCGTTATATTTTTAGGTTTAGATGCATTTGCAATATTAATTATTTTATAATATAATAATTATTGTAAAATTAGCAGGATGTGTGGAAATTCACTTTTATTCACACATTATGGGAGTAATATTAAAGTCTAGTTTTTTCCCGAGAGATATACTGCTATTATATTTTAAGTATTGAATAATAATTTTGTTTCATTTGTTACATCACTATTTCCTATATTGTGTTGATATATCTCTATTTAATTACACTTGTACGGTAATGATGGATTTTTTCATACAGTTCTAACATACATAAAATCCAACCGATAAAAATTATTATGTGAACAAAACTACTTCTCATACACTTTGCAACATGTTGCTAGACTCCAAAAACAAATTTTCTGTGTGTATTCACACAAGCACCTATCATAAAAGCATTTGGTTCAAAGCTCAAGGTTAAACATGATTTAATGTTCACTTAAATGGAGCATTTACCTATATCGCTGGCAATGCAGGTGAATGTATCATACTACAAATGAGTGCTAAGCGTTAAAAGCGAACTACGCATGCGCACCAAACGTTTCGAGCGTAGCCGTTGTAATGATAAGTGTGTAAAAACTTGAAGAAAAGCCATAATTCGTAGAAAAGCAAACGAAAAGAGAGATAAAAAAACTGGTAGTTGGTGGGTAATTTAAAAGCGACGACGTCATCGCTGACGCCATTCACTGCATACGAAAAGCACAAGTGAATCAACAGTCAAAGTGTTGGTTTTTATTATGCAACAGCTGTATCGGTTAGTCAACAACAACAGCACTCAAGTTGCACGTTGCAATCGCAGTAAAAACCCACAATATAAACAACTGACTGGTGGCATGCATTTTGGACCGGCTGGCTATTTGCTTGGCTGCTGCACCTACTGCCTCGCTGCTGGCTGAGTGACCTAGTCTGGCCGCTCGCATGATCTTTAAGATTGCATCGCGTGCATAAACAACAGAGAGAGAGAGAGAGAGCTGCACTCTCCTCTATACTAGCGTTTGCATTGGAGAGTATTACCAAATCCATTCACTGTTTCGGACGGCCTTGTTGGAGCATTCACTGAAGCTGATTCAACGAAATTTCGCTCTTCACTTTTGGCGCTCTTAGCCCTACTCAACTCAGCCCAATTTAGTACTACATGCGTTAACTTATTTGTTACTCGTAGCTGTGAATGTGTGTGTGTCAGTACAACTCAACATTTATGGCTTACTATTCGATTACCACACATTGCACCAAGCTCAAGCATTGCACACTATTTCTGTTTTTAAGACAGTTGCTACTAAAAGTGAGCACAATTTTGTTTGAAATTTGGCAAATTATTTAATCAGTTTGATTTTTTTCTTGGCGGTGAACGCGCGCGGTTTTAGCGTGCTTGCTTCTAGCTAATTTAGTGCGATATTATAAATTTAGTGAATATAGAGGTATGATGAAAAAAGATATGTGAGATATGTACATATGTGTTTAGTTTTGAATGAAAATAAAAAATGTATGGCCCTTGACTAATAAGCCAAATATTCATTAATATGTGATATTGGCAATGGTGCTATGCCGATTAGAAAATTTCGTGAAAAAATATGAAAATGAAACAAAAAACTACTGATAGGAATGTGAAAAATTTGTGAAAGAAAAACACTGTTTCGGGAAAAACGGGTTTACCTGCGGCGAATTTAGCCTAACTAGCATCGAGCGCACAATTTCTCAAGTCTGTATCACCGAAAATGTTACTCTCATCAACTTAAAAATTGAGAACAATATTCTAGAGGTCTTGTAGAATTTAATAAAGTGATAAAAGAATTCGATTTTTTGAAACGCGAGAACGCATGTAACGCCTTAACCATGCCCTTCTATCTGTCCGTCTGTGTATACTCAGTTTTAGTGATATAGATCCGAATTTTTGCACATGTCCTTTTCTTCCAAAGAATCTACTCATTTGTCGGAGGTGCTGATATCGGACCTCTATAACATATAGCTTTCATATAAACTGAACGGTCTTATATGTGCACTTATGTATGGAAAACCTCTCCATTTAATGAGATATCTTCAAAAAATTTGACACGAATTATTTACTAAGGTGACGCTACAACATTAAACATTAAAAACATTATTCACATCCGACTACTATAGCAAACAGCTGCCTTACAAACGATTAAAATCAGGATAAAGATCTTTTCAAACGCTTTTATGGTAATAAAAATGACTTTCTGCTTTCTTTGCAGTCGACTTATAGTTTTTTCCTGTTTTGTTATATTTCGTATTAAAATTTTATAAAAGTGTCATTTTTCCCTTGCCACATAAAGTAATTATGATTTAACTTAACGTCGAGCTTATTGTGCAACACTAACACATGTACGTAAATACACCCAACTTCAACAACAAACAGTGGAACCTTGGCCACTCCAAACTCCAGCTAATAGTTTTATATACAACCTTCATCAGTCAAAGTTCTACAAATTATCATTAGCATATTTCAAGGTATTCGAGTGTAGAGATTTATTAGCTAAGCGAAGCTAAGCTAAAGCCCTGTAAGAAAAGCATTTGCTAGTGAAAATTTCAAACAGCGATTTTTAAAATTTTGGTGCAATAGCCTCGATTATTTTAATTTAACTCTATAAGGGTACGAAAATTTTATAATGCTACATATAATATATATAATAATACATAGAATACAGTTTTTATTCTGTGAACTATATTATAAATACAAAATATTAATTCTTTGCATGTTCACTTTTGATCTTTGTATAAATATTTGAATTTTTAATTATCTTAGAAGTGCCGAAAATTCTTGGAAAATATTTGTTAAAGCTGACTTTTTAAAACAAGTAATTTTATTATCCATTTAAATATTTCTCAAATATGTATGCATGTGTGCACTTCTATCAATACCATACACCTCACTCTTTGTCTTATTTTTGTCAGAGTTTCGTTTTCATGTGTTGTTTGCATCTTGGCGTTGTCAAGCAAGTTAAATTGCTGCAAGATTTAGATCGGTTTCGAAAGATTGGTGGGATTAATGATAAACTTTATTAATATGGAAATAATTTTGTAATACTCTGACTAGTTTTTGTTGCTGTATAATTCTTACGATGGTAACCATAAGAACTTATTTACCGGATGCGCCATGTTTTATATAATATATGTATAAATAAAATAAATATTGAACAACCTTGAAAACATGAGTATACTATTTGTATTTCATATACAAAAAATGATTTATTTCAGTTATGCTTTCCCAGTCTATTTTTCTCTAGTATCTGAAGTAATATACTTAGGAATGGATTTGGGAAGAATGAGCTCGTTAATAGTCCGAAAAATACTGCTGTTTTTCAAAAAGACTTATAGTGAAATATGATGCACAAGAAATGATACTTAATTTCTCATAATTCTGCGAATATTTGTCACAGAAACTGAACCGAATTGTTGGAACAACTACATGGCATTACTTCAACGCAAATTGTCATGCTTTGTTCAAGCAATTGCTTTTCATAGAACTGGTTTTATTTTCCATTTGGCTTAACCTATTTTGGCTTATTATTAATGCCGTCAGTCAGGGTGAAAAGGGAAAGTTATTGAGGTTAACAGAAATAATCGACAGTTTGATTGATTGATTGGGTCTATTGTGGCCTCCCCTAAATCAGAAAGACTCACCGAGCCACTGTATTTTGATAAGGTCCAATATGCGCCTGGGTGCTAGCGAAGCAATGTGAGCCCTATTTGGAAGCATGGATGCAAGGGCCTTTAACCTGCGCCTGTGCAGTCAATTAGCAGGTATTCTCATGTTTCAGGGTCCCTGTCGCAGACCAACCTCCTGCATCAGTAGCATTTGGATATCATAGGAGGAGATTGCTTTAAATGCCGCTTGCGTTGGAAGTTTATCTCTATACACTGACTTATGGCAAAGAATTCTGCCTAAAAAATTCCCGGAAAATTTCTGTCCGAGGTTTTCAAGCCGTCAATATAGCACTTGGTTGCTCTGTCCTAAGCAGTAGCTCGAGAGTGCAATCATGCCATTCAGCCTTGTTGATAAGGGTAATCTTAAACTTCTTAGTTAACCCTTTTAGTAATGCTGTCCCTTGGTAGAAGTCGATGGTATTATACTACCTAACTTTTTCATCCGTTTGGACTACTTGAAATTATCTCTGCCACACATTTCTGCTGTCATTTGTAGCAGTTTAAGAATCGACAATTTACGGGTGAAGCGAGTCAAATTCATTCGATGTTAAACACACATATCATGATTATATAGCTTTGGTTACCAAAATATGTCTAACCAACTAATTGGTTATCAAATGCAATAGTTATGCAATATTTACATGCCGAATGATGGCCCACCTTGTATAGTCATAATTGATTAAGAAATACACTTAAGCTCACACCTCGTTAGCCGAGGTGCTAACATATACGTAACTGGGTCAACAAACTCTGTCTGGCAGCAATTGAAAATCATACAAAGATTTTTGCAAAACAAAGTTGTTGAAAATACTTGAAAAGTCACAGAAAACTATTTTACTACAAAATTATTAAAAAGCCAAAAGTTAAAGGTCTTCGACTGGTTGATATTTGACTGATAAAATTACAAAAATAATTATGCTATATGTTCACAATTTTAATTTTTTAAATTTTTGCTTGGTATCTAGTACTATGAACATTAATGTTAGAATCATAAAATGTTTGTTTGAAAATTGCACAAAATCCACTAGGTGTTAAAAACTTTTTCAATGCCAATTCATCACTGCCATACCCTTTGTATACATTATCTTCATTTTTGGTTTTTTATATGCTGGTTTTTGAAGGTCATGTAGCTGTGACGCAAGTATTCGCCTAAAGCGGGTTCAAAAACCGCCTAAGTGCAGATTCAACTCCAAATACGAGCAGCGTTAGTAATATTTTGTGAAAACAAACATACAAGCCACTCATTCAATTATATGTACATATGTATTTACGTGTTTGTTTTTGCATACACGAAATTCCAAACAAACCTTGCGGTCGCATAAAATACTATAATAAAATGCAAATTATGCGTCTACACATATTCCTGAACATATTTCATATTCATGTTTTCTCGAGGTAAATCGGCTTTTTCGTTTCTTTATTTGTTTGTTTTAAACAACATTGGGCTTACTACAAAAAACGAGTCGAAAAGTTATAAATAAATTTAGTGGTGAGTTTTTAATGCCGCACAAAATGAATTGTGCATATTTGTATAGCATTTCCACGTGCAGCCAAAAAATAACCAATACACAAAAAAAAAAAAAACCTAAACAGTTTTGAGTGCATACTTGCAGCATTTTTCGTATATTTTTGATTTCCGAATGCGATTTTTATATACATAACTGTATATTTTTCGCTTTATTTTGCATTTGGGGCACGATAGCACTGCGAACTTCGCATTGTTAGCTTTTTGCGCAATTTATTGTGCGGTTCAGTTCGGTTCGGTTCTTTTTGCGTCCACTGCTTCGGTCTACGCAATTTGTTGTATGGTTTTTATAAAATAATTTATGCTTTCGCCGTTTCTTTTGCAATTTTGTGCAACATTCGGCGCGTTTGTGTAGTCAACTAATTGAGCTTTAAACAAAGCGGCCGACCAACTCGGTCATTTTTCACTTTAATACCCATATACCACAGCTTCTGCACTCATCGGTCTGGCAAATCTTACGCCTTAGTTTGAGTGCAGGTGGTGCACATTTGTGAAATGCCGCATTTCAATAGCAATTCGGTTTTTGAATAAAATGAAAATACTTTTTTATCGCGTTGTGTGTTATGATTATTAAGCAGGAAAACCCGTCTGCGGTGAAAAAATACGATTCTCATAAATAATGAAAAACAAAAGGAAAGTGCGACGTTATCACAACAATATAAAATTTCAATAAAAATATTAAACTGAAAGAGAAAACTAATTATTCATAATATTTATTTATAATTTTTTCGTATTCATTGCCGATGGTTATCAATTAAATACTTTCAGAGATGCCGTCTTTGTATTCTCATCAGCGGAAATAGCAGATTATTCATGATCGCATATTATTTGATGGAAATCATACCGAATTTGGCCTAATTTATTATTATTGATGTTACTAGAAAATATTGTACATAAATTTAGTCGTATTGGTTTTTTTTACTTGGCGTTTGGAAAACCATTGTATACTCAACCGATCCAGCTTAGATAATTTCAACGCGAGTAGTTAGAGATGCTCAGACGACTCGTTTGATATAGTTAGCTCAGTCGTCTTGTATGCAACATCATGCTTTTAACATCATAAATCTCATAAATTAGAAATATTTAATTAGAAACAACAGTATTGATTGAGGTTTGGTATTAAACCGAAATTTTCTAGATTAGCACTGATGATGTCAAAAAGTATTTAGATTCATATTAATACAAATTTTTATTTTATTCATGCAATAACATAATAATACTATAACC